CGGTACATTACCTCCACTCACATAAATAGCTATTCTCATCCAATGCTGCTCTCTATATGCAAACATTTTTTTACACATGCCACAAGCCTTCTATCTCCCCAACATTGGAATTGACTGATTCCAGTGTGTTTCTCATGCAAATCATCATGCATCAACCCTCCACCAATAGTACTAGTACACACACTCACCTATATACACATGTATATAAAGTACATATTTTCACGTAATTTACATGAGTCAGTGTGAGCTATATATATAAGGAGAGATTATCAAATAAATTGTACATATCATTATGTAAAATATTAACAAAAGAAGAAATGTATTCATAGTTTGTGATAGAATTTTGTTGCTAAACAGAACATAAAGAAATAGTTTGATAGCTGATGTGCAAATTTAGATTCATAAAATGACTAAAAATAGGACACAAAATTAAAGAACAAAAGTTTACGTTGTTTTAATGAGCTTATACTTTGTCATCATCAGATGTAGCACTGTTTCATAGTTTTCAGTTATGCTCTGTAGGATTCCTTATTCTTCATTCAGCTGGAAAATGCATTCAGATTTTTTTTACTAGCTTATGAGTATTGTGCTTTTGTTTTGAAACTATTGTAGTAAAATGTCATGATAATAGAGTGAGCCCTTCAATTTATGTACAATTTTCTTAATATTTATTACTTTTCACAAGAATGTATTTGTGTCAACGAAATTCAAGGAAATAACATATCAAACTTCTGAAGATAATTTTTCACCACATTTTCTAGAAGAAGAATACTCTTACAATGATGATTTTGAATCTTCAGTTAGCTCAGAGGAATCTGATGACCAGAATTTAGAAGGTTCTTTTGAAATTAATAACCTAAAGCGAAAGGTAAGTAAAAATAGTGTTATTAACTTATCTATATATATATTAAACTTATAGATTATAAACTTCTTCAAGAAAATTATACTTACAGATTATAAAATGCTCTATTTAAGTTTCACTAGCAAATTATAAACTTCACAATTTAATTATTATTCATTTCCAACCAGAGCAAGTTACCTAATTAGAACAAAACTAAACATTAACTTGGTAATGAGATAGCTAATTAAATGTACTTATGTTTTTACTTATAATGATTAGCATGCATTGTTTCATCAGTTGAGTGCTCTTGTGGTTAATGATATTTCCAATATTGGTACATTACTTCCACTCAC